TTTTAGGCGTTTTTTTTCGTAAATTATACTATTTCTCTGGATTTTCTGATGCCTGTAACTTTGCAACGAAAAATCATGGAGAGCTGTGTGGCGCTTCATTTTTTTCAGAATTTTATGCTCTTTTAGGTGGCTATATTGGAAATCTTTTTAGCAAAATTCTCTAGAACTTAGAGCTCCGCTGGAGGAGTTATCTAGAAAACTTTCTTGAAAATCTTTTTTCTGGAATTTTAACGCATACTTCATTTGATAGAAAACTTCAAGGGCTATCCAAATCACTATTCAGATTTGATCTAGCCGCTCGGCTTCATCGAAAAATTTCAAAAATACAGTGGCTCTATAATTTTTTCCAGTACTGTATATCAAACTAAAATTTCTTTTAAATTTTATTTGAATACTTGTGTTTTCTCATATTTAATATTTATTCAAACATTGATGAGTTTGTTTTCTGTTTGTTTAAATTAATTTACATTATTTTTTTTATTTTCATCTTTTCTACATCACTTTGAGAAAGGCTTGATCAAGCTGAAACGTTGGCATTTCATAGAATAGCACGTTTCTGTTTCGTGGAAATATGAAATGAGCAAGTATAAAGTGAAATTTCTTGGAAATTCACTTTTAGTTTGGGTAAAGATATACATGTATACTACGCCTCACCCAACAATGTTAGATTAGATGAGATCAGGAAAGTTCAAATGAATTTCCCACCCTAGCGATGAAACCTCTCGAGGTGATAAAACGCTTTTTGCCCAGAATCTAGGGAGTTATAGGTTATCGACCATGTTGATCACAAATATGACCATGGGAGTGGCCCTTAGCCCCTCAAAGATCCGGTTTTTCAGAAAACCAGTTTTTTAGAAAGTCTAAAATATAACTAGAACTTTACTTAATGAGGCGTGATTGTAACCCACAAATTTCTGATAAAATGAAACATACCCCAGCTTTACACGACCTTTCTTTGCAAAATTATAGAATTTACAAGGAAAGCCAATACAAGAAAATTAATATTTTCCTTATTGCTGTAGCTTTGAGCTGACAATAGGCTGTTTTTGTAAATTCTGTAATTTTACAAAGATAGGTCGTGTAAAGCTGGGATATGGGATATGTCTCATTTTAATCAGAAATGTGCGGGTTACAATCATGCCTAATTAAGAAAGGTTCTGGTTATATATTAGACTTTCTGAAAAACTGGTTTTCTAGAAAACAGGATCTTTGAAGGACTAAGAGCTACTTCCATGATTATATTCGTAATCAGCACGGTCGATAACCTATAACTTACTAGATTCCGAGCAAAAGCGTCTTAACACCTGGAGAGGTTCCCTCATAAGATGGCCTACTATGTAAGAGGGAGCTACTATCAACATAAGGGGGAAGGAGGAAGCGTGAAAATTCGCATTACCTCACCTAAGATGATCTACTATATGACTGTATATTCTTACCGTACTCTGTCATCAACCTTGCCTAATTCATGACTTCGAAAATAAAAGCTTTTAAACAAGAATTTTTGCCAAAAATTCTTGTTTAAAAGCTTTTCCGAGAAATTCAACAAATTACATTTGGTATCGGCGATACCAAATGTAATTTGTTGAATTTCTCGGAAATAGGGACGTGTCATGAGCTCCGACGTTTGAATAAACATTTTAAATACGAGAAAACATAAATGTTGAATAAAATTCAAAAGGTTTAATCAAAAATCTCGTAAGATACAGCTAGAATGTCAAAAATTCACTAAAATTTCTTGTTAACGCACGTTGATTCGAATTTGAACTGGTTTCTAAAGACGTTTTGATCTAAAATGGAATGTATGCGAGTGAGTCCTATAGTTTTACTAGTGGTAACTAGAAAATGTACAATGTCTATACAGTGGAGAAGACTGTCACACATTATGAATGTTTTTAATTTCAGTTGAGACGAAGTGACAACAAGATTTTAAATAGTAAATCTAGTCAATATGTTTGTATCGCATCGATTAATTACGTTTATTAATATCAATCGATTGATTCTCATATTGATTAGATTCCTAATCGAAATTTATTAAAATCATTTATTTAAATACTCGAACAATCGAAAAATATCGTCTTACTCGCTAATATCATATAAAATGAATTTCGTCACATAAGAATGACGAAAACTATCCAGACTAGTGTGAAAAGACATTTGTAACCTCACCTCCTCATAATAGAAGACTGCTAACAATTTTTCCTAAGCTTTCCTCCACGTTTTTTGGTCAAAAATCGACTTGAGTTGCTCGCCAAAATAGAAGATCATGGTGGTCTTCTATTGTGAGAGGAGGAAGGGTAGTCGAATTCATCTATTTTCGATGCAAGAACGAACTCTTGCCCGCAATGCAGTAGATGGCGCGATGTGACCGTCTTCTTCAATCGTCTAGAGACCTGCGGCACTTTTGATAAGATACTGTTCTTTAGGTCATATTAGATCAAAAAATATTCTGCCCGTTATCTGTACATAAATTGACTGTTAGTTTCTGTTTGAAGTCCATATTTTCATCCGAATATATATTTTTTTCTCCTGTTCAAACTACTTTGTAGACTATTTTTCATATATTCACAGGCATTATCATGGGCAAATAATAATTGTGACAATGTTTTGAATGTTTATTGTTTTGATCCAAGAGAAATAACAGCTGGAACATACAAATATGATTTTCCCAAATGTGGTATACATCGTTTGAAATTTTTAATCGAAACAGTAATATGTTTAAAAACTTTATTAGAAGAAAAAGGAAGGTATTTCTTGTTTATTTATCTCATTTAAAAATATCTTCTTATTAAATCGTAATTTTATGATTTTCTCTAATATAAAGTATTTTTATATTTAAGTAATTTATTCGTTCAACGAGAAATTCCCGAAATAGTGATTTTAAATCTTGTACAAAAATTTAAACAACATTATTCTATAACTATTATTTTTCATCAAGAAGTGTGTAATGTTATTGTAAAATAAACATAGTCATCTAAAACTTTTGTTATTGTTTTTCTCCTATTTAAAGGTAACACGAGAAGAAACAGATGTTGAAGCAGCAATTAGAAAAGTGGCAATTGAACATAAAGTTAATGTTAAAGAATTTTGGGGTTTGACACTTTTTCATCCAAATGATTTGCCCTATACAAGTCCAAAATTGTAAGAGAAATATTCTTTCGTTTTTGTTTCAAATTTATCTCCATTTCATATTTTGTTGTCTTTTTTTCCCCCATAGTTTTCCCGATGTATATACAACATTTCGAACAATGCTTGAAACAAAAAATATTCGCGTGCGTAAGTTGATTGATTGTTCACAACAACTTAAACCATTGCCCGATAATATTGAAATTCTACAAGTGCCAAATTTATCGGATTTTGGTCATTCTGGTATGAAAAGTTATCTCCGTTATAAAAAATTCAAAATGCTTAAACTATTCTTGTCTTTTAGTTGCAGAAATACATGCAAAAACTGTTTTTCCATTTTCGGGTGGTGAAACATCCGCATTGAATCGTTTACAATCGTATGTTTGGACAAAAGATCTTGTACAATCGTATAAAAAGACAAGAAATAGTTTGGTAAATGTAGATCATACGACAAAATTTTCAGCATGGTAAGACGCTCGTAATTCTCAATTTTCTCCATTAAAACTCGACTTTTTTGCAATAAAAATATTATATTCAGGGTTAAGGTCAAAAATTGAGTCGACCTATGTGTATTTCGAAAATTTTCCTTGATTTTCATTTTTTAGTGAAAATCTCGATAATCTTTTAACGTGAAAATTCGACAAAAAAGCTAAAGTAGTTGGATAGGATAGAAATATACATTAGTCGACTCAGTTTTTGATACCGATTCCGAATATGATACTTTTATTGGATAAAAGTTGAGTTATAATGGAGAAAATTGAGAATTAGGAGCACAATTCTGACTTTTTCGCCTCAGATTTTTGTAAAAAATGAATTTTCTCAGCAACGGAAAGTAATGTCGAAAAACGCTCATATATCTGAAGTTGAGCTTGCGGATCTAATGACGTGTAGATCATGGCTTTGCTTGTTGACACAAAAAACTAGATAGCATTTTGAAATTTCTTATTCCCACTGTATGGGTCCATTTAGTGACATTTATGTTGGACTTGACGACCTTTTCACTACGAAATCGATGAAATACGATTTTTTCTATTCAGTTTTTGATGCTGAATCAGAAAAAATTAGTTTGAAAAGTCTACATCGACAAATAAGACGAAAATTTAAACTATAAGGATTTTTCGATTTTCGGAATTCTTCGAGTTTTTTCGATTTTTCGACATGAAAAAATTGTTTTGAAAAATTGAAAACTACATTTTCGTTATCAGCTCGAAAAGCTCTATCGAATGATGTATGATAAATCCGAAAAAAATCTTACTTTAAGTTTGAATTATGCGTGTCTTATATTAATACGGAAATTGTGACTATACTGTTTGTTTATTTTTAGGTTAAGCAATGGATCATTATCACCACGAAAAATCTATTTTGAAATAAAACGTTATGAGAAAGAATGTGGAATAAATGATGCTGGTTATTGGATTATTTTTGAAATTATTTGGCGTGATTTTTTTCGTTTTATTGCCACAAAATATGGGAATCGAATTTTTTATCCATCTGGTTTATCAAACAAAAAATATGTATGGAAACAAGATGTCAATTTATTTGAGAAATGGAGAAGTGAGAAGATAATTAACAAAATCTCATTCAATTAACAAATTATTTTTTGTTCATTTTCAAGCTGGACACACAGGTTGTCCGTTTGTTGATGCTAATATGCGTGAAATGTTATTAACGGGATGGCAATCGAATCGAGGACGTCAGGTATTCTATTCAAATAGAAAAAAGTGAATAAATAACAATAAAAAGTTATTGTTTTTTTTTAATATTATAGAACGTTGCCAGTTATTTAACAAAAGATCTTCAACTAGATTGGCAATATGGCGCTGAATGGTTTGAGTCGATATTAGTATGAATGAAAATTTTCTATAATTTTAAAATTATATTTTTTTATTTAACCTGCAGATTGATTACGATGTATGTAGCAATTATGGCAATTGGATTTATCAGGCAGGCGTGGGCAATGATCCACGAGAGTATCGTCATTTTAATATGATTAAACAAGCGTTCGATTATGATCCAGAGGTATGTTGTTTAGATTTTAGTTATACAAATAAAAACTTACAAAGTTATTTTGAAAAATACTTAATGAAGTCTCATTTAAACCGAGAATATATTATCCTTTTTTTAAAGGAGAGCCCTGAATCTATAACTTTTGGAGGAAACAAGCTAGCGATCTGCGGTTTTTACTGTTGGAAAGAGGACAGTTTGGGACGTAAACCTATGGAAAAAGCAGAGCGTTCAGTCAGATTTACCATGGTGTACCATTCGAGACAAAATCTGGAAGCTTACCGTTCCCAAACCACACTATGATACCCAAGCTCAAATAATAGTGATCGATAGTCAAAACATTTCTCTTCAAAATTATACAAGGCTCAGGTCTTTATCTTCTTTGGTTCCGAAGATACAGACGTTTTCCGAGGACACACCTATCTCGGTGCAGACACGTCTGGAAATCTCAGAAATATGTGGCTCATAGGTAACCTACCACGTTGAGCATCGTGGCGATGGTCGTTTCATTTCCCACTCACTCAACCACAACTTCAGAAAACCCAGTTTGGTGGAAAGCCGTTTTTTCGCCTCTTACCGTCAAAAATTAAAAATCGTATATTTCACTCATTTCTCGTCCGAAAAGACTGAAATTTCCAGGGAATGATTAGCAGAGATCATAGAATGTACATCGAGTCGAAAAAGTTACATAAGGTTTCCAGTTTATACATATGACTTTTTAGTGGATCTCTGGAAAACTTCCCATGGAACCAAAGGTCAGATCAGATTTTTTCGACTCGAACGAACTGTGCTCCTTCCAATAGTGAAAACCGCACATCGCTAGCTCGTTTCCTTCAAAAATTATAGATATTCTCTCCAAGACTCTCCATTTTAAAAACGGGTAATAATACAAAAATGTTTACACATTCAACTTCTAGTAACGATCGTAGATAAACGAGTAAATATTTTTCTTATTTTCTGTAGGGTGAATTTGTTCGTACATGGATTCCTGAATTAGCTAAATTACCAAATGATTTAATTCATACGCCTTGGCTAGCATCATCAATTGAATTAAAACAAGCAAATGTTGAACTTGGAGTAACATATCCTCGACCAATTATGATTGTACCACAATGGAATAACAGAGTTCGTTCAAATGTAAATTATATTTGTTTTATTATTTTAGGATAAGCCTTTTCATATTACTGAAAGTTAGGCTAATCTGTTTCTTCTCTCTTGCTCTTTCACTTTGAATTTTCTTCAAAGAAAGATGACAAGAACGATGTCTGTAAACCATCATATTGATTTTTTCTCCTCCAGGTATACGTAGATATAAACATTTAACGAGATGATAATTCATATATTCGTCTGGAAATTATCACTATAAAAATACATTTCAAAAAATTAATTATATACAGTAAAACCTCTATTAGTGAACGCCTCTCTATAGTGAACACCTCCCATTTTGAACAACACACTATCCGTTCTAAAAGATTTTTTTACAGACCACGAGAAACAGCACATTCAGAAGTACAAAAAAGAACTGACTTCTCACTTTTGCAACCCTTTTTTTACGAAAATAATAGCAAAAAGAAAAAGGTTCAAGTGGAAAAAAAATAACAGATGTTCAAAGTTTTCATTTTTTTTTCGTCTTTTGTATAATCTACGTAGTTTTATTGATTGAAGCTCTAAAATTAAAGTTTAGGTATGGTTTTGTAGAGCATTTTACGGCGCATCTTTTAAAAAAAGCATTAACTTTTGGATCTTAAAGAAATGTGAGAAAAATAGAAAATATTGAGAGACCACACCCGTTACCATTTCTCGGAGTCTGACGATGAGAGGGTCGTCATTGCACTCAATTTATTTTTTGGCAGATAAATGTAAGACAAGACATAAATATACCGGGTAATAGAGAACTTCGAACACTTTCAGAATATATAATTATTTTTATGGTGATGATATATTAAAAAAATCGAGTGCAACTATTTTTTTCCAGGCGGATATTAACAGTATGAAATGTTGGTTGTGGTTAAATCGCTACGTTTAGTAAATATTAATAAAGAGAAGAGAAAGAAAATTGTATTTTAAAAGGAACGCTGAACGTTTGCAGTCCTAGTTTCGATTAATTAAAATCTTAATTATTAGTTAACAACATATAACAAACTAAAATCTAAAAACACATATTTTTATAAGATAAGCTTATAGTTGTACTTCAAAGTGACACCATAGAAAGAGAATTTTTTATTTAGAATAATCAACTATTAGTTTAATTCTCAAATTATATTTGGGTTTACTGTTCTCATTTGACAAGAAAATTGACTCTTAATCTTATTCTTATCCTCTTGTTTACTTTCGCTCTCGTTTTGCTTAACTATGTCGTTTTTATTGTTATAAGCTACGATAAGAAAACAAGTTTTATCACCTTCGTGGTCACCAGTGATCAATAAATGGGTAAAAAATAGTCGATAGAATTATTTACAGAAAGAAAGAGAATAACGCTGTTAAGACCTTATAAAAATGTGTCTTTTAGATTGTAGTTTGTTCAAAACTCCGTTAGTTTATGTTGTTAATTGCTGATGTAGATTTTAATTAATCGAAACGTTTAGTAAAACCTAAATAGAGTTACGAAGCAGAAAAGAATAATTAATAATGTGGTAAAAAAGTTCAACTTCGTACACATTAAACAATAAAACCGACAAAGTTGAAAATTAGAGACGAATACGTGAATGTTGGAGTACATAAGTAACAAGAAACGATATGTTCAAAAAGTTTAATTTTTTTTCACCAAACTGGTTATATATTTTAACACTACTGTAGACGTAGATTATTAAAAAACTGAAAAAAAAAATTTGATTTCGTGTCTCGTATGAGTTCAAAATGTTGTATACATAAAACGTTATTTCAAAAATGCTTATTGTTCTTTCATTCAAACAGTAAGTGGCGACGTTTTCTATTACGAATTTTGTCATGTCTGCATTGTTTCGTGCATGTACTGTCCATTTTCTCACAAAATTAAACCAAAATGCATCGTCTTATTTAAGATAAAGTGTTTCACTGCTGTGTTTGATTGATTTGACATTGTTCTTTTCGTTGTATTTTTAATTCGTTGAAATTCCTCATCAGAAATATCGCTTTCTCGATTTGTGATATTCTTCCGTATCCTTATTTCCATCATCATCATTATTATTTTCATGATCAACATCAATGTGATCCAATAGTTCTATATAATCTAATAAAATAATCATCAAATCTTATATTTTTTGTTAATCTTTCACTATAATCCTTGATATTAATACATTGTAGGATCATGTTGTAATGCCACTACAGTATTGTTTAATTACAACAGAATTGCACCAGAATCTGTTAATGCGTAGAAAGAACCTATGCATAGTTACATTAGTTCACACTTAGATTCTCTTCAAGAATTGGCAGATTCTGGTGCAATTCTGCTGTAGTTCTGCCAGATTTTGGTAGAACTCGAGTTCGAGTTCTAGCAGAATCTACCAATTCGTGGAGAGAATCTAAGTGTGAACTAATGTAACACATCGAGTTCTACCAGAATCTGACAGAATTGGACGGTAATCTGCAGATTCGCAGGGAGAATGTGATAGTGGGTGTGGGCATGTTTTCCGATTGTTTTTAATCAGGCTGGGGAGATTTCTTTTATTAGAAAGTCGATGGACAGTTATTTCCTAAATAAGTGAAACAATCGTTAATTGACAAGACTTTTTGTTACTCCGTTTCAGAATTTATTTTCCAACGAAAACAATATTTAATATTCATCCAAGTCATTCATAACAATGTATTTCGTTCTATGACTCGACCTGAATGAGAAATAAATCTTTTATAACAAAACTAGTAGCTTCTGGGGTTAATTGAAGTTGTAAACTCGAAGTTTTGCTACATGTTTCGAGGGTCATGTCTATAATACAATTTCGTGTCCATGTTTTCACTCGACGAAATGTGCTAAAAACCTGTTCAGCTTCGTTTGACCCAACAATAAAGAACTTAAAAGACTGTTTACCAGTTTTTCTGACGAACAATCAGAACTTAAAAGGAGGCAGAACACAAATTCCAAAAGTTTGGCGGATAGTGTCAAAATTTAGGGTGGGGAGATCCCACTTCCTCGCCTAATTGGAAACGCTGGACGAGAGGAGAGGAGCATGGGAGCGATTAGCGATACGTTGAATTCTGGAATTTCCATGGAACTGTGGAACTTGACACTGGTCTGTTGATTATGAAAATAATATTGATGATGATGGAAATAATGACACGAAAGAATTTGACAATCGAGAAAGCGATATTTCTGATGAGTAATTTCAGCGAATTAAAAATACAACGAAAAGAACAATGTCAAATCAATCAAACGCAGCAGTGAAAGACTTTGTCTCACATAGGACGATGCATTTTGGTTTAATTTTGTGAGAAAATAGACAGTACATGCACGAAACAATGCAGACATGACAAAATTCGTAATATTAGGTTGAGGAAAAAGTTCGTGCGCCGTGTTAAAATAATGATTTTTTATATATTTTTTTTTGTGTTTTTGATCTGGTTTTGTGGCTATTATGAAAATTTATTGATTTTTGAAACGCTTG